AAGTAGTTTATAAAAAGGGTCTATGTAGCATGAATATATTTCAAATGGGGCACATGTCCTTACAATATTTTAATAAATTGGTATTAACGGTGTAAAATAACTTTGTATATTGTAATACAGTGTTGTTTTACTTAGAAAAAATTACTGAAAATATATTTTTTTCAACTGCTAAGAAAAGAATTAGCCTTGGTATAGTCAAGGTTTATTTCTCAAATTTAAAGCTAAATTTACCTTCAGCGAGAGAAAAAATAAAGGATAACAGGATCAAATTGGAATTTTGCATGTGTGTGTTGTACATTGTTTTATCTTTTATATATCATACATTACCACAGGGAACTTTAGAAGTTACATAGACTTTTTTTGCGAAAGCAATAGTTTTCAGATTATTTTGTTAAGAATGTGTTTATCATCTCAAAATATATGGTTATTTAGTGAAAATTAATCTTCTTTCAGTATTACAAGGTGAACACAATTTAGCAACAACCAAACTGTCATCACCAAGTCAGTAAAAACGTATGTAAATTTCCAGAACTTTGCAAATGACTAATGGCTTACACTATAGGAGAGAGAAAGTCAAGATGTTTATTTTCCTCTAGAGACATAACAAAGTATCTGTACTGATGCCAACTCCCTGCATGAAAAGTATTTATTTCTACTGAAATTTTTCATTTACTGAATTTCTTTTAGAAATATTCAGAACTGAGAACAGAGTGTAACCCTCAAATGAACACATGAACATTTATTCCAGACCATGTTTTCTAAAACTACCTCGAAGCTGATACTCAAGTATTTCCTAAAATGTATCTCATTTTGCATAAAATTGCTGCATGAAACTCTTGTCCATGGGAAAAATAAAATTAATAATGCTCTATATAAACTAATTAATGTTTGTTCAAGTTATCTACTAATTACTTAACAAACTACCCATAACTTAATGGCCAATGACAACCACTTTACTTTGCTCGTGAATTTTGGGCTCATAAATTTGAGAAGAGTTCAGCTCAGTGGTTTGTCTGTGATCTACATGGCATAAGTCAGGGAAGCTAGAGCTGAAGGATCCACTTCCAAGATATCTTCTTCACTTATGTTGGTGTCTTGGTGCTAGTTGACCTCTCTCTCCCACCATATTGTGTCTCATCCTCTAGTGCCTCTCTATATAACTTAAACTTCAAACAGCATGGTGGTTTCAGAGTGGACCAAAACACTGGGACAGAAGTTGTAAGTTTCTTTTGACTCAGCCTCTAAAATTTCAGAACATCACTTTTGCCACACTCTATTGGTCAACTGTGAAGAATGAAAACTCAAGTTTAGATATTAGGAGTAGCCAAAAATCTATGGCCAACTTTAATCTACTACAATGTTGTCTAAAATTTTAAGTAATAGGATTTGGGAAACTGAAAGTTGATAATGTGTTTAGCCATACGGATTGGATTTTTGTATTTCTTGGCAGTTCTAATTTCAATTCTAGCTTTAGGATGTCCAGAACTGAATGTGTTTGATAAACTTCAGAAACTGAAGGAAAACAATTTCCAGAAGTTTTCATTACCTTACTGAATTCTGCAAGTTTTCCAGACATAGACAGAGATATCCAATCGTCCCAGTTATCTTTCTGTATCTCTTTTTTACACCTGGTGTTTTCTAATGTCTCATGATTCTGACTGCAGAACTCCCACTGACACAGAGGAGCTCTTTGACATTTATAGTGCTCATAATGTCAGCTGACTATTGAGGTATAAGAGCAACTTATAAAATGATTTCCAATTGTGAATAAATGGTACTAAATAAATCCATGAAAGAGTTAAAATCACGTAAAATTAATCAGTCATGTGCTCCTTGAAATGCCAAAGATCTAGTTTGACTGATTTTGCTTTTCTTTCTCTGAATTATATGGTTGTTTAACATCTCAGAGTAATAGCCTTTCTGGGATGAAAAATAAGCAGGTCTCCATCTTTCTGTCAATAAAGTTGTTTCCAACTGCGTTACAAACTAAAAGCCGAAAAGTTCATCCTTACATCTAATGTAAATTGGAAGTAAATTATTTTAGTAATCTTATAGGATGGTAATATTTGGTAGGGTGTTTTGGCATATATATCTATGTTAGAATACAGGTTTATACAAAGTACACATCTTGTAGATGTCCTGAACAGTACATACAGGTGTTGCACCCAGCGAATCTGAATGGAATGTATCTTCTACAACGGTCCTTCTCCTTGCTTTGGATCAGTACTTTTCAAACTTTGCTGTTGTGTGCCTAAGAGCAGAGGAGAGTACAGAAGGTATTCCTCCAGGGACCACAAACATAAAATTTACTCACATTTTGTTTGTGAATCTTATCAAGCACTTTTTTTTTTTTTTTTTTGAGATGGAGTCTCACTCTGTCACCCAGGATGGAGTGCAGTGGTATAATCTCAGCTCACTGCAAGCTTCACCTCTGGGGTTCACACCATTCTTCTGCCTCAGCCTCCTGAGTAGCTGTGACTACAGGTGTCTGCCACCACACCTGGCTACTTTTTTGTATTTTTAGTAGAGACGGGGTTTCACTGTGTTAATCAGGATGGTCTCGATCTCCTGACCTTGTGATCTGCCCTCCTCGGCCTCGCAAAGTGGTGCTGGGATTACAAGCATGAGCCACCACTCCTGGGCTTATCATGTATATTTTATCATGCAAATGTTGCTTTATATATATATGTGTTTTGGTATGAAAACAATTTATCCACTTGAATTTCCATGGAAACTAATGATATGAGACCATCATATGGTTCCATGTAACCCCTGGAACCACAAAGTTCCCTTAGAATATTTTTATCCCAGTTCGAGGTAGAGAGATGTTAGTAAAATGTATCATATGGTCAGTAAGGGTATCAGCATATCTAGATTTGGCTCTAACAAAATATAATGACTGCAAAACAATATGGGGACGTAAGAAGAGCCACAGTCTAATATTTCATTATTTCTAAATATTCACCATTTCCACAGTCCACTCTTAACAACATGTTTATTAATTTCTTTGTTTTGTTTAAAATGTTTAACTTTGGTACTCACATTGCTAGGTTTATTTAAAAACTAATATTTGCTATATTTCATTTTGGAAAAATGAACATTAGGAATACAATTTTCTCTCTCTTATTTTCAAGATATAAATAAGTTTCCAACAATTCCAGTTGAATTATAAGGATCAAAAGTTTAGTCAAAACTTCCAAAAACTACAAGGAGATATCGTCTCACCCTAATCAAAATGGCTTTCATCCAAAAGAGAGGCAATAACAAATGCTGGAGAGGATATGGAGCAAAGGGAACCCAAATGTCCACTGTTAGTGGGGATGTAAATTAGTACAGCCACTGTGGAGAATGGTTTGGAGGTTCCTCAATAAACTAAAAATAGAGCTACCAGATGATCCTGCAATCCCACGGCTAGGCATATACCCAAAAGAAAGGAAATCATTATATCAAAGAGATATCTGTACTCCCATGTTTATTACAGCACTATTCACAATAGCCAAGATTTGGAAACAATGTAAGTGTCCATCAACAGACAAATGGATAAAGAAAATGTGGTACATATACACAATGGAATACTATTCAGTCATAAAAAAAGAATGAGATCCAGTGATTTGCAACAACATGGATGAAACTGGAGGCCATTACATTAAGTGAAATGAACCATGCACAGAAAGACGAATTTCACATGTTCGCACTTATTTTGGGGAACTAAAAAATTAAAACAATTGAACTCATGGAGATAGCGAGTAGAATGATAGTTATCAGAGGCTAGGAAGGTTTTGGGTGTGGTGGAAGTAGGAATGGTTAATGGGCATGCAAATATAGTTAGAATAAGTAAGTTCTAGTATTTAATAGCACAACAGGGTGACTACAGTCAACAATAATTTATCGTGCATCTTAAAATAACTAAAATATTATAACCAGACTGTTTGTAACACAAAGAAAGAATAAATGTTTGAGGTGATGGACACTCCACTCACCCTGATGTGATTATTATACATTGTATGCCTGTATCAAAAAATTTCATGTACTCTATAAATTTACACACCTATTAGGTACCCACAATAATTAAAAATTAAACAACAACAAAAACCTTTCTAAGTGAGTGAAAATTGGGATCAATTTGTCTTCCCTGGCTGTATAATGGATAGAGACCACTATGGTCACAAATATCAATAAATCATATATTCAGTGTAAGCCCAATACATTTAAAGCATATTTACTCAGTTCTCTTGTGGTTCTTCTGTTTAAAATTGAAGAAATTTAGAATACTAGAATGAAATCTAAGACAGATGAAATCTTGAAAATGTTAAAGGGCATGATTTAAATTAAAGGCCACAATTTGAAAGAGATCCTAGCAGGTCTCTGAGTTTTTAGCTTACAGTACTTAAAATTACAAGGATTAGCAGTAGGATCTCTAAAAAGAGGTGCAATACCTTGTGTCCTTATTTGAGTGTGTACAAGGACAGTAGCACTCATAAGTCAACTTGTCACTTTTCCTAACATCATATGATTGATAAATATTCAGGATCCCAACCTAAAAACAAGTTTTAAATGGCCCTGGATTGTGATATTGAAAATAATATTATCAAATCATTTTAAAGGCTAAACCAAAGGCCTGTATTTTATTTCAAGAAGTGCTTGGTCTCCAGGAGTTAATGCTGTCCAAATAAAAATTTTGGCTGACATGTATGAAAAAGTTTCTGTAACAATCACCAATGCAAGACACTCATGAATCTATCAATCACAGAGTTAAAAAGCTCTGTCATACAGCACACTTAATACCCAGTGTAACTAATTAGTATTACCATTTTTTGATGCAATACAAACTAGTTTCCTTAAACTGCTATTGCACTGAACTCCAGGGTTATAAATGAGCAGAACACAAATTGATTTGCATGTAATAACAGTGGCAATAAACCTTTCCTGGCTCATGCAATTTTCCCCATCTGTTAAGAGAGGGCAAGTTTAGGAAGTGTTATTCCAAGGAGGGGACTTACCCAGCTGGACATCTATAACACTTGGCTGATTCTCCATGGGGAACAATGGCTTAGGAGGCTTGTCTGTGAGTAAAGCTAGAAGAGAAAATGAAAGAAAGTAATGGAAAAATTGAGATAAGTTACAGGATGAGAAAGATTCTATCATGTATGATATTTAATGTTTGTAGACTTGATGGTGTGTAAACATTTATTAGACAGTGTTCCTACTTGGGTAGTTACTCTATCCATACAATATCCATTCCCCAGCACATTTAGTGCACCATTGATTCACTGTAAATAGGATATTTTGACAACTGCATTTTCCAACAAGATGAAACAAATGGACTATTTTGGGTAGTTTTTATAAATTTGTAAGTATAAAGAAATATATATTTTAAAAGTATAATTGAGAAATAGGAAATCCTCATATATGCTTTGTAGTGGTATTCTCAATGAAATATTACCCTAATGGACATTTTTAGTGACATGGATCTTCTAAACCTCTGAATTATCCCCCACTCTCCACTGCAACCTCCAAAACAATATAATAAAGCAATGATATCTTCATTAGGATAACTGATCAAAAATACAAATTAAGCATGTTTTATACTCCAAGTCTTGTGCTAGGTACTAAAGGGAAAGAAAGCAAAGTCTTTATCTTTGCCCTCAATTTATAATACAGGACTATGAACACAGGCTTAGCACACTATAATAGAGAATAGAACATAGAATATAGCATTTGAGCTATAAGGCTATATATAGGTGGTAAAGAAATGGAGAAAGGAGAGGTCAATATTGGCTGGAAGGTTTGAGGAAAGTTTTATAAAGAGAATAGATCTTCATATGAAACTTAAGGGATGGAGAATATTTGGAAAGGCAGAGAGTAAAGAAGAAAAGATTCTCAGAAGATTCTCAAAAGGATTTTCAAAAGATTATCAGGAAGGGGGGCGGAGCAAGATGGCCAAATAGGAACAGCTCCAGTCTCCAACACCTCGCGCGAGAGACACAGAAGACCGGTGATTTCTGCATTTTCAACTGAGGTACTGGATTCATCTCACTAGGGAGTGCCGGACAATCGGTGCTAGTCAGCTGCTGCAGCCCGACCAGCGAGAGCTGAAGCAGGGCGAGGCATCGCCTCACCTGGGAAGCAGAAGGGGAAAGGGAATCCCTTTTCCTAGCCAGGGGAACTGAGACACACAACACCTGGAAAATCGGGTAACTCCCACCCCAATATTGCGCTTTAAGCAAACAGGCACACCAGGAGATTAGCATGGCCACACCTGCGCGAGAGGGTCCCACGCACGGAGCTCCCTCATTGCTAGCGCCGACAGTATCCCGGCCGGTCTACAGGCAAGGCATCAGCGAGGCTGGGGGAGGGACGCCCGCCATTGCTGGGCAGTAATGGTAGGTAAACAAAAGGCCACGGGAAGCCTCGAACTGGCGTGGAGCTCACAGCAGCTCATGGAAACCTGCCTGTCCTCTGTGACTCACCTCTGGGGACGAGGGCCAGTAAATAAACAACAAAGCAGCAGAACCCTTGCAGACGCAAAGACTCTGTTGACAGCTTTGGAGAAGCAGTGGATCTCCAACACGGAGGTTTGATATCTGAGAAAGGGACAGACTGCCCTTGCTGCAAGAAGTTGGGTGTCCCTGACCCTGGAGCTAGGCCTAACTGGGAGACATCCCCCACTAGGGACAGTCTGACACCCCGACACGCTCCACAGGGGTGGACGTACACCCTGGAGAGAATGTGTCCAAAGCAAGATCAGGACAGGTACACCCGGCTGTTCAGCATATTCTATCTTCTGCACCCTCTGTTGCTGTACACCCAGGGCCAAACCAGGGTCTGGAGTTGGCCTCAAGCAATCATCAACAGACCTCCAGCTGAGGGGTCCCTGTGGACTGTTGAAGGATAAACTATCAACAGGAAGGACACCTACAACAAAAACCCTCAGTACGTCACCATCATCAAAGACACAGAGGAGATGAAACAAAAGATGGGGAAAAAGCAGGGGCAGAGAAAGGCTGGAATTCAAAAGAATAAGAGCCGGCATCCTCCCCCGGCAAAGGAGCGGCAGGCTCATCGCCAGCCAATGTGATAAAGCTTGGCACGGAGAATGAGACTTTGACGAGATGAGAGAAGGGAAGGGGCTTCAGTCCATCCAAACCTTCTCAGAGATAAAGGAAGAACTTGGGCGTACCCAGGCACAAAGGAAACTAAAAATCTTTGAAAAAAAAATGGAAAGGAATTGAGGCTAGCAATGCTAATTATGCAGAGAAGTGCATAAACGAAAATGAAAGAGGATGGAAAACCTGACACGGAAACTACGTGGAGCAAATGCACAAGCTTCGGGCCTAACTGACGTACTCAACTGGATAGAAGATGCAGCGTAGAGGACAAAGAACGAAATTGA